ACGCATGTGTATTCGATTGTGATGTTATCATGATCTCGTAACGCACACGTGAACTAGCCTGGAGACAACGTACCGGGTATTAGTGAGCGTGTTTTCGACTATCAACACTGTTTTGTCGACTGCTGCGAAATATTGTGGTCGGTGACTACTGATGAGTGAGTCGTGGGGTGATATTGGCGGTGGAAGGGAAAGTCTATGAGGTGTTCGAAGACTTTGTGGGAGCAGTGCTTCGTGTTGGGCACAAGCATTGCTGGGGTTGTGGACGAGGCACTGGACGATGCCAAGTAACGAGCAACATGAAGGCGCAGGAGCGTCGGGTGGAGGCGGCGATCATCGACCGTATCGTCAGCCCACGTGCTACAATTGTCACGAGCCGGGGCATTATGCAAATCAGTGCCCGCATAGGGAACGTCGGCAGTATGCGAGCCACCTGACGACTTCCTCCGACTCAAGAAGGTCGCGATCGCCTAGAAGACCTGAGAGTATAGGCGGCATTATTCACCGCCTGGAGTTGATAAGGAAGTGAGATCGCAGATTGCGGAGCTAAATAAGAGCGTCGCATCGATCAAGCAATTCCATGACGCCAAGTAGGCAAAGGAGGAGGAAAAAGCTCGGAGGAAGCTTGAGAAAGAAGAAGCAAGGATGCGGGAAGCCGAAGAAGCTGAAAAGCGAGCCGTAGAGGAAGTGAAGCGTGAAGCCAAACTGCGTAAAAAGAAAGAGAAGGCACGTAAGGAAGCAGAGTTGTGTGCTGAGATGAGGAAGGACATGTCACTGCAGTGTGCCATCATGCTGAGCGAATAGAAGGACAATTGGGTGGAAGAGTGGAGGCAAATTGTTCTACCTGCGGTCAAAGTGTTGGACCCAAAGGGGAAGAAGAAGGTCCATTACGAATCTGAGGAAGTGCTCTCGGACTCAAGCGGTAATGGCAGCGAAACAAGCGTCACCCAAGAGTTGAGCGAAAAGACTGGGAAGCTTTTTATCTCGGAGAAGAGGAAACGTGAAGCCGATGTTGTCTTCGAGGATAGCCCGCCAATGGAGGCCTGTCCTAAGCGTACGCCGAAACGTGGATCGATTAAGCTGGTGGACCTTAGCATGCGGATGACTCGATCAAAGACTGCCAAGAAGACCGGGAGGACCCCGATTTCCGCAAAGAAGAAGACTCCAGTGAAAACGGCATTATCGAAGATGGTGAAGTCTGCGAGGAAGAAGACTCCGAAAAGCCGAATGACTCCCGATTGGCTCGTCTACGTTACCGGGGCGCCGTCATGAAGGAGCTAAAGGACTTGGAAGCTCCGCAGAAGATCTGCCGTGACGAGGGCCTTCACTATGATAAGAAGATCGAGGCTATTTTTGACATTGCGGAGCATCGGACTCGGGTTGCATTTGATGAAGATACTGTGGATGAAGCAGAGGTAATTCGTATTGCCGATTCCGGCAATACCGAGGAGGTAAACCAACCCGAGGTTGAGAAAGTGTGACGAGGGTTCGAAGCGACCCATCTTTGGAAGCTGTGTCGGTATCTTACCAGTCTTCGTTGTAGTTCTACTTCTGTATCTAAACGGGTTGATGATGTTCTCCGAGTGGTTATCATCTTACTGACGCTTCTGGACCAGATTACGTGGGCACGTAGGTATGTGAATGTCTGGCTGAACTTGTATCGTAGGCATGGTGTGGAGTTTATCAATCTGAGTTGCGTAGTGTATGTCGCTCTGTCACCCTACTGTAAACTGTTCTACGTGGGAAAAACAACACGTGATGTGAATACACATTGGAGAGAGCACTTGTATACCTGTCGTGTTCGCACTCAGTCGCATTTCCATCAATGGCTTGCGTCCTTTGGCTTCGGGAACTACGTCCTGATTCCAGTGGATGTACTCGTTGGAAATGAATTGGTGAAACTTGAAGAACTCTACATTAGTCGTTGGTCACCATTCTTGAATACATCTGGGGTTGGTAAGCGAGAACACATGGTAAGAGAAAGGTTCCGGGGAAGAACGAACGGGCTAGGGTGGCAGGCAAGACAATTGGGGGTGGTCACCCGTTTGTATGAATCCGTTTTCGTTGTGCGGACAACCACGCCTGGGACGTTGACTTTTATAAACTCTTTGATGGTATATTGAGTAATAATAACTCTGGGGTGGTAGTTCGAGTCGAGAGTGGTAACACTTGGTGCCCAAAGTGGAAGAAGTTGGTCAAAGCGTTTGGTGAAAGTAAGATACGACACAACTCACGAGTCCTCCGTCTCAAGGAGAGTAAGAGCTTAATTGAAGCTGGCGGCATCTTCGAGGTAACCCATGTCTGTAAATGGAAATCGAAATGTAAGTTCTTGAAACACGTTTTGATTGGGATCCTACGGAATCCTAAGAAACTATCCGATCTGTACAGGTGGAGTATGCGATCATTGTTGCGAATGTATCGAGTGATCAAGGACTTCTCTCGTAAGTCAACAAGGAAATACTTACGCAGACTGTTAGGCCGCTGCTTCCGAAATCATTTCGGTTTAAGTTTGTCCGCTGATCTTGTTTTTCGTGTGAAATTTGATGACCGCATTAAGGTTTCGGAATTTCGAAAAATACCCAATGATGTATTGATGTCATGTAACCTGCCTCGCTGTTTTTTGCTACGCGCGCGTCGGAAAATCCGTATTGTCTGGACTAAGAATCAATCAGTTTCGGAGATTCTGCACAATCATCGTAGTTATGCAACACGTGATGTGCTCACCTGTACCTGTACAGGCATGTTGTTCCGCGCGTCGATGGTCATGTGCGATTTCGTCTTGGTGATTTGGATGCCTTGCATCCGTTACTGTCGAATTCGAAGAACATACCTTGTGTCGAAGTGGGTAACCGTTTGCTGTTACTGAAGGAGGAGCTGGCTGCTGGCTTTAAGGGATGGGTCAACCTCACTGGTGAATGCCCTGACCTTTCTTCGTTTTCGTAATCTGCATGCGTGTCTTTGTTTTCTGAGTCCGCCAACACTCTCATCTTTGGATCAGGTTCTTGATCTTAAGTGCAGATTGACTGGTTTGGTTATCTCTGCTGTTGATAGGAATCCGGGCGAGACCGTGGTGATGTGTCCAGCCATTTACCATGATGCAATGTTATCTACGTTTGTGTCCAACTCCGGTTATCGTGTGATGACTGTACCCGAGAATCAAATCTTGAGGGAAATTCGCGAGGATGCTGAATCTAAGACGTTGTCTAAATTCGTAAAATGGAACGTCAATGGGCATTTCGGCTCTGCTTATGTTATACCAAAACATAAGGACCAGTATCGCCCTATCTGTCCCTCCTTCAGTGAGCCCATGATGCGAACTGGACGACTTGTGGCTAAGGGTTTGAATTACCTACTGGAGTATGCTACCCAAGGGTTGGCATTTCAATTTGCGTTCGGTCTTAGATCTGAAGGGTCGACTGTGTGGCATTAACAAGAAATTCCTCCGCTTGGGGAGGGATCGAGTGGTTACTACATATTCTTTTGACATTAAGGATATGTTTAGTAAACTTCCTCACACTGACATCCTTCGGGCAATTGATTGGGTAATCGAACATCATTTGAGTAAGCATCGTGAGTTTGTGCGAGTAAGCCCCCGTGGCAAGGGTGTTAGTTTTGGGCTAACCACTGGGGGCGATCACTGGCGAAGGCTTGATCTTCGGGACATTCGGGAGTATGTTCGGCTGGAAATCAATCACACGTATTTCTTTGCCACTGGGGTTTTGTTGAAACACGAACTGGGAATTCCCATGGGGAAAAGTACAAGTCCCCCTATTGCTTCCATTATGTGCGCGTATTCTGAGTATGTGTTGGGATGCACACTTGGTAAGGCTAATCGGTATATGGCGGCCGTTCGATTAATCGATGATGTGACTCTTGCCATCTCAGTCAAAGAGAGGAGGTTGCATGATCTTATACTTGATACCTTCCTTTCCTGTTATCCAAGTAATTTGTTGCTGAAACGCACTGATGACGGGTCTGGTACTTTTGAATTCCTCGGGTGCCAGATAGAACGGCGCAGTCATACCCGTTTCTGGGTTGCATTCAAATGTCGAGGAACGAAGACTGTATTTGGTCTGAGCAGGGGCCAGTGGTGAAGAACGGACAGTCATACCATTCCTGGAACAGTAAAAGGCCTAAGAGTGCCATTATCGGAAGTCACCTTCACAGGATCGATCAGAATCATACTTGCAAGCAGACAAAGACAAGCGTCCGGTCCGGTCCGCTTTGCCGCGTGCAGCAACCCTCCCCCCGGACCGGACGGACTCGGACTGAACCGGACGGGGTTGTTTTTTTTTTTGGGGGGGAGGGGTGGGGCGTAACTAGTCGTCGGGCACACATTCGTGTGCCACGCGGGTCCAGTCCGGCGGTCTGCCGCACGTGCGGAACCGCCCGGACGGCGTCCGCTTGCAAGTATGATCAGAATACTTCGATCCAGTCAGAAATTCCAAGGAAGGTGTTGAATCTGCAGCAGGAGCTGGCATTGAAGGATTTTCCTAAGTGGTTCTTTCAACAAGTCCTAAAACATTTCGCCGTTCGAGGGGATACGGTCTGGGAACACACTGTCCGAATTGTTTGCGGACATGTTACCGATTGGACGATTTGAGCAGTTCGTTACTTATCTTGGAGGTGGGAACTCCTTATCATGCATGCATGCGGCAGTATTTTTGTATTCGGCTTTTCTGGTTTTTTCTAGTGTCTTGTGATTGTTGAAGTAGGATTAAGTGTTGTGGAATTTGATTGTGAATAGGGACAGGGTTTTGTGTTAGCAGGACCGGAGGTTGTGTATGTTGTAATAAGGGTAATTTGACTGAGTTGTTTAGGCTGGTACCGTAGTGACCCTTGTGGGCTGTGACTGTCAGTCTTGTGTACTGCCCCTATTGGGCCTTTTTCGTACTGGGACTGGTTAACCAGTACCTAGCCGGCGCGCCAAGCGTTTTTGTGGCTTCTAGATAGTACCATATTGTTAGCGTTGGACTATAAGTAGATAGACAGACGATTGTTTCATCCTCTCAGGTCCTACCCTCGGCAAGAGCGCCGGTGCTAGGATGCTAGTTGGTACGACGGGGGTTCCTGGGTGTGAGGACTGAAGGCGGTTACCTGATGATGTTTCGATTTTGTTCAATCTATGTCAGCACATTACTGCATCTGACTTACATTTTCTAAGTGTACTTGCTACGCATGCGTGTTCGATTGTGATGTTATCATGATCATGATCATGATATTGGGAAACCTGTAGCAGCCAGAACCGTGGTCACGAGATTGGCCCCAGGCCTACTTTGAGGGAAGGGGGGGGGGGGGGGGGG